CAGCCAGATCACATAAATAATCATAGACATATGATGCTTCTTCTGTACTTTCACGAATCGGCAGCCAACTCAACCATACTTCGAGTAACTAAAACAAAAAACAGGTGTATAATAGATGAGTGGAATAGGAAGAACATACTTTATTAAAATTTTCTATTTTTGAATTATTATATTTGAGTATTTTCGTAACAGCAATAATAGCATTTTCCGTCGCCATAATATTGTCATCGGAGCGACTATTGGTTTCAGCAACAACTTGAAATAGACGTGAATATTGGCACATTCATGTGCATACACTAAATTACCATACATGCCCATTACACCGAAACCATAACTGGCTATCTCACAAATCTAAAATACATAGCACGAAGAATCAATTAACAAAGTATCGATGAGGGAATCGAGTTAATAAGGGTGACAGACAATAATAATAATAATAAGCAAGAGAAACTGATCAAAATGATATATTTTGCAGATAATAAAATAAAATCCAATTTAGTAAAAGTTACTTGTTTTACGTGAATGCAGTTCCTTTCAGAATAAGGCAGTTTTGGTTGGATGAGCCGACTTTTGAAAGCAACCTTTTCTCAAATATTGTAATTCTTTTTTTCCAAAATGTATTATTCTAAACGTTAGCGAACCAAACTAAAGTCAAAAAGAATTATGCCAAATTAAGAGAAAAATTGATTTTTTATTTTAAAAACCTTTTTGTCACCAGCCTCTTCGAACACCTGTGGAACGCTTGGAGGTTCTAGAATCGATTCTCATATTCAACTATGTCTGCTGATCGCACATATGGCACTTATTTTGACAAGAAACGAAGTTCTAGTGGTAGAAACCTGATTTTATCTCCAAAGTTTTGATAATTTCCTTACACTAATAACCGTTGTAACTTATTTTCATTTTTGAGCACATTCGGAACGTTCTATTAAATTATATAAGATTGTTTGTATATAAGATAAACTAACTTAAGTTTTCATAATCGGACGTTTAACGGCTGAAAAATAGCACTTTAACATGAAAAGTCCGCGGTCTACTTTAATTTCAGATTTTCACAAAATTTAAATTTGTAAAACCTAACATCATATTTTAGAACTGAAAAATATAACAGTTCGTTCAGTTATTTTCACTCTATCACTTCATACATAATTAACTACAATTAATTAGTGATAGTGTAAGATGCTGTATTTACCTCAGCGGATACATCTTGAACCGATTCAGCCATACGTTGAAGAAAATATTGCTGATAACGAAATGATGTTTCACCAGTATATTGAATAATATCATTCCAAACATGTAATGACCATTGACGATCAGAAACACTACGTTGTCTTTCTAGTAATCGATGAAAATGTGGTGCTAACGAATCAAAATATATTAAATATGAGTCTGAATATGTGACAAGTAATGAACGAATTATGTCCGATAAACGCATCAATGTATATGCATCACAATCATCCTAGAAAACAGAAGGAATAATATTACATGAGGAAAGAATAAATTAGTTCTAAATGCAAGTGTTATTTGAAAACAACTGAAGTGAAAGCACGACATTTTTAAATTTCTTTTGAGAGCTTGCGTGACGAATAAATTTGCCTA